TGGGCCGCGCCTCCCTGAAACCCTCCTCGTGCCCCTCCACCCCAGCTCACCTGTGCGAAGCGGTTGCTTGCTTCTCAGCCCTCCCAAGCTTCCCGCACTAACAGCTGATTCGCAGGAGACGGGGAGGGGGAGGAGAAGAGGGGTGGAGGGTTCAGGGGAGGAGGCAGAGGTGAGCTGGGGCCGGGGGCGGGGCGGAGAGCTGCCGGAGCTTTACCGGTTGTTACATTTAAAAGCACGGGACAACCGGTTCTAAAAGGGCTTCCCGCGAACTGGTGCGAACCGGCTGCAGCTGACCACTGCTCCCCCAATTCAGTCCATCCGTCATTTGGCCTCTCTAGGAGTCTGTCCCCTGCCAGGGTAGGCACTGCCTGCCCATGGGGCTTGGGGGCAGGGGGTTCACCCATATGAAGCTCAGGACCCGGCTGCATGAGAGATCACCTGCCCCCGCCGCCCGGCCTGAGGCCAGCCATGGAGCCTGACCGGTGGGCCCCCTGCAGCTCTGTCCCCCGCCCTGGGGTTGGGAAGTAGAATCTGTGACCCGCAGGAGTCACACAAGACCCACCTTTCCCCAGGCCTTGGGAACGGGGGCTGTGAGTGCAGGGGAGGGTGATGGAGGGTGGATCTGGGTCTGGGGGAAGATCTGGGGGCAGGGGTGGATCTGGGAGGTTCTCCCCCATGGCTGCATTGACCATGAATGTTTCGGTTCCCTGAGGGGATCTAGAGCCCATGGATGGGACCTGTTAGCATTTGTATGAGCTGAAATAAATCCACCTGCCACCACCCCCCACCCCGATCCTCACAGCCTGTGGGGGGCAGGACATTGAACCAGGGGACGGTTCCCATCTGCTTCGTCAGACCCTGGGAGCCAGATTCAGCTCCTAGTTACTCCATTGCTTGGGGCAGTGGCACAGAAGAACGGGGCCAGGTCTGAGCTCACAGGCGGAGTTTGGGTTCAGTTTTGGGGAAGGTTCAGGGCTCAGTTCCTCTTTCCCCCACCCGATGCATCCCCTCCACCATCCTTGATGTTACCATCCTCCCCACAGACTGATACTCACCTCCCCACGCCCCGCTGTGCCCGGCCAGCCAGCAGTCTGGAGAGGAGACGGCTCATTAGTGATCAGATCCCAGAGCATCTGGATCCTACACCCTGGTCTCAGATCCCCCCATGGCACATGCCCCGGTCTCAGATCCATCCCCCATGGACAGATGCCCTGGTCTCAGATCCCCACCCCCCCATGGACACACACTCTGGTCTGAGATTCCCCCGCCACGAACCCACAGCCTGGCTGTCTCCATTACTCACCGAGGAAGAGGACAATGAGAGCAGACGTCATGACAGGGCAGTGGGGGGCCCCTCAGGGCTGCCACCAACGCCCACCGAGCTCCACCGAGTCTGAGGCCCAAGTGCGTCGGGGGCTGCAGCCTCAGGAAGCCCGTGATGCGCTCGGCCCCTTTCTTCCCATCAGATGGTTTCTCTGCAATCTCCAGCCCAAATCTACCGTGGTCAGAGCAAAGCCAGCTCCCCGCAATGCACAGCAAACAACATCCTCTCGTGCAGGTGCCCAGCCCCACATGGGAGCTGCCAAGTTCGGGGAAGAGCTGGGAAAGGGGGAATCTCAGGAGGTGTCAAGAGATGACCCGGCTGCCCTGACCTTTTGTAACGGGCCAGTCTAGCCTCCCTGGAGCACCAGCTCAGAGCAGAGGAGGGCTCCCCCCCACACACACACACTGCCCCCCATGG